TTTTTGAACGAAATTAGTTTCATTGGAAACGATTAAGATACACGAAAAGAACAATTCTCCTGAAGTATTCTAAAAATTCGACCAAATTTGAAAATAGCTTTGTTGGGAGAATAATTAGGACGTTTAAGTTAGGAAAATATCAAACAATTGAATTTTTGCAGTGTTATTATCATGCTTCGTATTAGAAAAACCAGCGTTGAACATTATACCTAGTTTTACTATATCCAATTTGAAAAAAATGTTTTATTCATTATTTTCAATTTTTGAAAAGTTAAATTAAATTTAATAAAATAATTTAAATAAAAATTTAAACAAAATTTTAATAAAAATAGCTTTCAAAAATTTTCGCGAATTAACGATCGCGATTTTTTTAAATAAAATAACGCAATAACGCTGATAGCGCGCTTCCCGAATTTGAAATCCGTCATTTTTCCGGATTTGGTTCTAATGTTAAGCGTTCCGCATAATGATTTCGATAGCCCGATAGAACTTTTCAAGTCTGTTATTTAATTAAACTTTCAGATATTTTAGCCAAACTATTCTTTTCTCTTGTTACTTTTAGAATGGCTCCGTTAATTAAATGTTGATGTTAAATTAATTTTGAGAATCGAAACTCTGTCGTTTAGTTGATAATAAAGAAACTACGCGAGAGCACTATTTGAAAAGATAACACCATCGCTTAATAGATTCCTTTGCGGGGACTCTTCGTCGCATTGTAATTCAGATCGCGTCACGTTTTTCGCGACAACCATTCATTGCGGATGCGTGCCAAGTCATTACGAGCAAACGAGATCCTTCACGAATCGATGCGCGAAGCGGGACAGGACGATTCATTGAATTTATGGTCGTTATGATCTTCGCATAACCTACGTGTGCAACAACCCCATTACAGGATTATACGTTATGGCTGACACAATGCGCACTTTATTAGTTGTCTCTCGCGCTATTTTTACGACGATCGAGATATTTTATTGCGCATTATTCGCAATGGTATATTGCGCAAAATCGTCTGTCGGATAACGAGCAAGCCGAAGGGCGGACCCTCCCTTCCCCTCCTCTTATATTTAGAAAAGAAATTTAACGTGTTCTCCATTGGATACACTTTGTTTACTCGGAGGAGTCGAAGAAAATCACGTTTCTTCAAACTTACACCACCTTTGCATTTTGAATTTACAATTTACGAAGTTTGCACGGACTGCATCGATGAAGTAATATCGCGTGTTTTGTTTTCCGTAGCGAAATCTTGATAAAAATATAATATACAATTATTTAGAAATTTCTATAAGTATTTTAGTCGAAATTAGCTAAAAATTATTGACAATTTTGTTTTTTTTTTCTTTGTTTACCTTTAGATTTACATCAATTTTTACTAATCCGACTTCATCTTTTGCTACATTTTTTTGATACCTTTTGATATTTACTTTTCAGCTCAACATATTTTCGTTAATTATGCTTCTGATCGAGGAATAATTTTGATCTCTACAAAGTCATAAACGTAAAAAGCTTTTTTGGACGTACACTGACATTAAAAAGAGCATTATATGTTATATTTATTACCGTTTGTATTTGTTATTTATAAAGTACCTGGAGTAATCTTTCGATATATATATATCGTTTCGTTATAATTTCAATCAACATATGTAACATAATATTATAATTATTTTTTTCTAATTTGATTTTCCGCGTTTTATCTCGTTTTATCTACAGTTGAAAAGGATTAAGTAGAAATCGAAATGTACCTTGTCACGATCGTGTTGTCTTCCGTAAAAAAATGTGGTTAAATTACTTACATTTCATTTCTTCTTATCTTTTGTTCGTTATTTGGTCATTATTTGTTCTCGAGTCTCTCTAAAATAAATTTAATCCAGTCGCGACAAGTTGAAGAATATCGCGCCAATGATAATGTTGACTTTTATGGCATGTGCGGAACATTTATCGCGTATCCCGTAGCCCTCCCGGCATTTCGCCGATATAGAATTCCGTTTCGAAATTCCACGAGCATTGGAGATTTTACCGTAGGTACCGCGGCTTGCGTTATGCCGCGATGGGATTAATGGATTAGTAGCGAGACGTGCGTAACTAAGAAAGTACATTTGAGGCAAGAAGTTCCCGGCGGACGAGATTAGGAGCGATACAATAAATTTGTAACAAGCCGCAACTCAATTTCTGCTCGCCGTTCTTGTTATATCTCGTTGTCGTAATGCGATACCCATTCCATCGTCTTCATCGTCGTCGTCGTCGTCGTCGTCGTTGTAACGTAGTAGTAGCGTGGTAATCATAATCGTGTGTTCGTAACGCATATCATAATTTAAGATGACGACTGTGTAACAAGCGCCGACTTGTTTGCATA